ACACCAGCATGGCCTGCAAACCATCAACTGCATTGCTCTGGAGACCCGGACTCAAATGGCTTGCTGAAACTGCTCTGTCAGCAGCATAGTTCACATCGTCTAGTTGGCAGGATCCCTAAAAATGGGTACGAATAAAAATAGTTGCCCTTGTTTACTTTGGCTTAAGCCAACCCATTGTAGAGTTGATTCAACCAGAGGTGAAGACTACATCGGGTCTATGGACATAATCGGTGGCGATCTGTATTGAACCTGGTTATAATGGTCACGGACTTAGCATAATGGGGATTTACGACGGATGGCTATGAGCTAACGCACCGGCTAGGTTTTGAAAGTCTTGATTGCTGACACCGTCCATGGCCCAACAGTGGACACAGATCGAGTAGGCAGTCTTCGACGGCGTTCTGTCACAAGCATCTCAGTGGGTTGCGATAGCGCAAAGGTGCGTATGACAGCGAATAAGGGCTCAAACAACCGCTATCAAGAATACAAGAAACTGTGCAAAAGCACCTAGCCACTTTATTCACGGAGGCAAGCAATTTCTTTAGCTCCTTCAATAACGTAGTCCTCTGGTGAAAACATGCTGTAGCACTTTATCCAACGACCAGTGCCAATATTAGCGGTGCAGGTAATCCCTCAGTCATTTGTATTTCACATTTAAACTATTCAAACTCTTTGATAAGCCGACGGTGTCGGGCCCACATGGTTTACTTAAATTGTATTCTCAAACAGGATGGAATACTTTTACGTGGCAACAATTCCTCAAGGCACTGCAAAACATCCTTAGAGAAGCCTGTGTCACAGTACGCCACGTTCATAAGTCGACACGGTTCATCCAGTGGTCGACGTACTCTTGTATTTTTCTGACCACTGCACCCATTAAGGCCACAATTTAATATCATACGTAGACAGTTGGTCTGAGTGGTTTCAAAATTTTACTTGGCCACTCCGGGAGGATGGTCTGAGGCGAGAGAAAGAGCTCTGTAACAAAGCATAAAGTGTGATAGAAACAATCTACGTCTTTCACCTATATAAATGGAATTCCCGTCTAGTTAAAGAACCAATGATGATCTGCATTCACTAAAATTCTGCACTTCTGCGAAAACAACCTGTGCTGAAGACAACCATACGAATTTTAGGAAGTCATGTTACACAATATCAACTCTGATATCTCTATTCAATTCACTGCCCAAGACTCTACAAAAGATAGGTACACTGTTCTGAGTGCGTCAAAACGCTGTTAGCTCACAGAAGCTTATAAAAGCATGCGTTAAAGTGCATCCAATAACAATATAGTGACAGGATGACAGTTTCTTGGATCGGGGTTTCGTCCTCTTTCACAGCGTATTCTTTTCCTTATGTGAGCTGTTCATTGAAAGCAAAATGCAAAGCATTACAATAATTACGCAATGGTTGGACCATTTCAACTTTTTATCTGCAGTAGTAGCTATTTCTAAGGTGAATATGATGCACACGACGTGTGCTATTTTTCGGCAGGTTAGTCACGTGTCAGAGTAACGCCATATACACAGACGACCAATAATCCTTATATCTCTTGACCGCAAGGGTGCCTTCAATTCTGTCGCTTTTTTAGTGCTCTCAACCACAATTTCTCAACGAAAGACGCCCCAGACGTCTTTAAACATAAGCCCTCAACTCACACCTCAGGAAGAGTGAGTGTACGGTGAGTCCTCAAGAAGTACCTCCACAAGAAGTGGTGTCTGATAAAGATATCTACTCTCCACATTTCTGTTCAGCTTTGTCATCAGTGAAACAATGAGGCGAGAGCTGGGGGTATTCAGATCCCTGATATTCAAATCGCTGCATATAAGAAACTTTCTGAATAAGCGGACAAAATCGCTCCCACCTTTGTAGCACAAACTGTTCAATAAGCTTACCGCCAACACACTATCTTTTGGTGACTTGGACTTACAAACTGCAAAGATACGATTCAAAAACATGCATCAGCATGCCTCTTCAAATTCAGAGAGAAGCTATGTAGGTTTTGGAGAATTTCTCATGCCTCGGTGGTTTTGTCAGCTCTGACAAGAGTATATCTGAAGAAGTCAGCGCACAAATCTAGCTTACTAATTTTCGCCATTTGTGGAGTAAAATAAGTGTACCACTGTGTTAAAAGGGTTGCGTGTACTAAGCTACAGTGAACGCTAAACATTTTGTTGTACACGTGAGAGAATTCGCCTCTGTGGACAGATTATAAGGGGCATCTTCAGGCTTTCGCCTACCGATATGTTACGGTGGTGACGTGTCAGTGATGAACACTGGTATTGTGCTGCCGATGATGATAACGACGATAATAATAATAACAATAATGATAATAATAACGACTTAGCTGTAACAGACGACCATCAGTATCTCAGAAGCGTTACTGGTGTCAGATTGCAAAAATGAACTTGTAAGGAGGCAATTAGAAAATGGGTGTGTAGCTGTGCAGCAGGGACTTCAGCCAAGAAAAACATCCGGCACCGTCAGCTGTGGTGGCTAAGCCATGTGCTATGCACGCCAACGCATGAACCACCAAGTCAAGTATTGTGCTCCTTGTCTACTACAGAATGGTATAAACGCAGGACTTGGTAGAAGGATGTGAAAGAGGTTACAAAGAACTTAGTTGTTGGTGTAGTGCGCCCTCCAGGATGGGGTCTTTGTGACCGCCGAGCGGTTATCTGGGATATTGCAAAAAATGATGGCTGAGTAATATCAAAATTCGTTGTGTTGCCAGTCTCTTTCCAGACTGTCTTATTTGGCGCCAGCACAATATCATTTCCTTGCTCACTCTTCCCCCATTTTTGTTTTATGGCTTTAAGAATAATTAAACCTAGTGGTTCAATGGCCCTAGAGAATCACTGATGTTTTTGCCTCTGATGACGACGACGATGATGATGATAATAAATAGGTTTAGTTCCTTGAAGCACTGATTATCCGTTTACTATTTCTCGTTGGGCACTTCATATTGTTCCACTCGAAATTCCATTGCAAACAGAATAAACTTATGGTGTTGTGGCTGTCTGAGGATCTCAGTACCCTATTGAGCCATAGAGAAGAGTGCTCATGCAGTATCTACAATATTCCTCCCCCAAGTTGATCAGTGGGTACAGATTTGACGAATAAAGACCCCCGGCTATTCACGTCAATGAGTCGGACTAGTGGGGCAAATTGTTTCGTGAAACCTGTATGAATCTGGTACTCTTAAGTTGGTCACTATTGACGTTTGAGCTGGAAATGTTTGCTGTTATCGTTATCATGTCTAGGTTTGGACACCCTGACAGCACCTCAGTCACGTAAAACATCGGAATACGCTGACGATACATTCAAGACACATATTTTGCTTTATTTCATAAATACATGAGGACAGATAAGCAATGATGCTCGATTACCAAGCACTCCCATTTTTCTATGAATAATACCTCCCGACCATGCTCCTGCACCACTTAACATACAAAGATCTCAGGTATGCAAGAAAAACTCAATTATCTGAAAAATTGAACTGCAGACAAGCAATAACAACTGCTGCCCCGTGTTCCCTAAGTCGACCCCGCTCCCCCATCTTTACCACACCCTTCAACCCACGATCTCATGGAGTAATGGCCGACAAATGATCTTGCGCGCGAAACATATTTTATCAATGGATATATGCCGCATTTATGAAACTCCAGTGTTGAATCCAAGTGCATTATTTTAGCTTACAGCATTTTCGCTGTTTAGGTAATATCAACTACCAAATTCAAGTTAATCCGCAGATGCTGTAACGGATTGTACCAGCGTTCGTATAGTTCATGCGGATACTCATAAACGGCCAACTCTGTGCTGCCTGACAGCCCAATTTTGAAAGAACTAGCATTGGTGGAAACATTAATCCCCTTTGTTCATTGCACCCCTTATGCACCAAACGATTCTGCTCGGATTCGGCAAAAGACACTTTCCGTGACCAACCAGCCATCTTTCTACCTAATAAAGAGTTCAGGTATGGTCGCAATGCTTGAAAGTAACAACGCATAAATCATTTACATCAGTTCATCATAAGCACATATTGTATTTACTTTAGACCCTGGAAGAACTGCTGATAGATTAGATGAAGAGACATCCTGTCGTCTAGCGGTGAATTATTTCATCGGTTTTAGCTCATTATACCCTTAAAATTGCGCACCGTAAGCCCACAAATTAACGTTTTTAGTCTAGGAGGCTGTGGCTCGCAAGTTACATAACTCACATTGGAGAGTCATTCAGTCAGGGGGTATTCCGCAATACTATCAAACAATAAAGGGAACTCAGGTCCATTCAGATAAAGCGGGTTTTGGCAGGAGGCCTGACGGATTCAGGCGAACAGCCAATTCCTATATAAGAAATCTATGGGACATGTAGTGCCCGCATTTGCCGTTAGAAAAGATAAGGTAAATCGATGCGATGCACTTTAGTGGTGACAGGACCGAAGTCGCCAGCTCCAGCATTCTTTCATCCACAGCGGGAATGTTCTCGTCCCACAGGGTGCAACAGTTAGAGGCCGGTTAACTGTTGAGTGCAGATTCTCTCCTCTTCATCAACAGAGAACCCGTTGTAGGAAAACCTGCATGTGTACAGCCAGCTTTCCTAACAGAACTTTGCCGTGCGCGAACAAATATTTCAAGGGAGGACAAGGCAAATGACTTTCACATCAAATCCCTTGGGATTGCTTCATGTGACACGCTAGGGAAGCTGTCCTATAGGTACAACCTTCACTCAGTTCTAAACCCTTCAGTCGTGTACTGTCTCACCGTCAGGACTGACTTCATGCACACGCTGCATGAAGCATTCAAGAACGGTACCATCAGTCATATTTTGGAGTACTCCAAGTGTGCCAACTCAGTACCCACCAAACTTTAGTCATAAAGGCTTGGGGATAATCTCGTGCAACGGAAGAGTGCACTAGAAACATAACAAAGCAGAAATCTAGTGTTCCGTAAAAAGTAATGCCTGAGGGCGTTGAAACCTAACCACACTGAGCAACATACTTGAAACAATTCGCTCCACTGTTGGGAGCTTGGGCTCTGTTTTCATCATAATCCAAGGAGCAACCTGAAAAATACGATCTCCCGACACTTGTATGACCTTGCTTTTGGTGCAACAAAACGAACTTCGAAAGTTCATGTAGGTTGCAGATCGGTGGGTGTTTTTTGTTATACAGTTGGTAATACACTGTAGTGAATTTGCTTTTACTGCTATAATCTTCAAGATCATCCGCTAGAATAACACGCGACAAACTCACCGAATATGTTCGCCTTCCGAAAGGGGGCACTTCAATTCTCACCACAGCAGGACAAAATGACCTGAGCTCTGTTACAAACATTTTTTCACAAGAAATGCAAGCAGAATAAGATATACATCCCTCATCCTTGTTGATTTTGTCCGATTTTTTCGGGTGGACCCTTTAAGCATTTCACTGATGGCCAAGAACATGAGATCGGCGAACAAGCTACGTTCAGAAATAGGGAATAAAACGGCATGGGTAACATTGTCTTACCCTTCGAGCCATCCAACAGAAAGCAACACCTTAGGAAAGCTTAGAAAATGTGGATGGATATCACCCATCTTTCTGGGGCAGGATTGCTTGATCTGGAGGGCATCTGGAAGACGCCAGATACTAGCGGACAAAAGAAGTGAGTTGTTACCAGAAAACCACCAGAAACCTTAGATGGTCAATGAAAACTGTGTTCCAAAACTCGCAGGAGGGGTTAATTTCGGAGGAACACTCTACATGGCAATGCATTGGATTCGAATTCGCCGAGCAACTACACCGTGCCTTTGTGGGAAATTGCGCCCGCAACAAAGAATCGGGTAATAACGCCCCTCGTCAGTGGAGGGGACAGGTGGCTGGGNTACACCGTGCCTTTGTGGGAAATTGCGCCCGCAACAAAGAATCGGGTAATAACGCCCCTCGTCATTTTAGGGAACAGGTGGCTGAGCCGGAGTAAAAGGGCCTGTCCAAAAGAGCCAATCCCTCAAAATTTTGAATCCACCAGGTTTACCCACATTAAAACCAAGCCTAAAAAGCCAAAAGAACCCTCAAAGGAGTTGATTCCCTGTGTAAAGCAAGTGACGACCACAACGAAGAAAGCCTTTGGCTTATAGTGGATGCATTCGGATGCATCTAACTATGTCAGAAAGAACTCAGACGGATGGAACGAACCTGAATAGCGGGGGTAACAGCTAGTGGGTCACTCACAAGCGTAGGAGTAGCTGATCCTCTATATCGAACTGATATGTGTTTAATAGGCGAAAGGAATGGTAATCTGACCGTCTCGAATTTCCCCGGTGATCCTTCCAACTCTAGTTGGATGGTGACAGGCCTCTGCCACATTCTTCTTATGCCCCCTATATTCGCCAAAAGAACGCCCTAAAACACGAGCAGTTTGGATATCCCCTCACCTGTGATGGTGATCTTATACCGATGGTGGCAATTTACTATTCAGCTTTTATGTCACATTGTTTTATCAAGATCTAGTTGATTCAATGACACGTCTTTTCTACGATTCCGTAACAGCTGTTAGCCATTAAGTTCTCGGTGAATCAACTGTGTATTGCGGTTAAATGGTTTCCCCAGGTGTGGTCAAAGGAGAACAACGAGACTTCCGACATTAGTCAGATAAGAATGCTTAGACCACCGTGCGGATGTTTTCAAGTGTGGTATCAAGTCAAGTAAAATGTTTTGGTCCAGCATGCCCGAAGGCAAAAGGAAAAGGTTGGATAATGTATCTTTCCAAGTGTCTATGAAGTGGTATACCCGTAACCTACAAGAAGCTCCAATAAGGTGTACCGTCGATGTATGCATTGAGGCCACAACAAACAAATGAGGAACTTGAAAACGATGTGGACCGTACAGTGGATACGAAAGTGGTTCTCCATGGGGATTCAGGTCCCCTCAAAGAGAAAGTCAGCTGACAGCTTTTTTCTTCCGTCCGCTTCATTCATTAAGACCAAACCTTCAGATCGTTGCTTTGCAAAAAAATCTTGGTGCCATGAAAGCGACAGCATGATATTCACGAAGTTCAAAAACCCATGGTGCGTAAACCGTTTTCTGGAAGCGGTCGGGCAAATAGGTTGAACAAAAATGATCGTGCTCTGGCTTTCCTAAATGATGAAACATACAGTTAAGGTGAATGTGAAATATGCATGTTTACGCTTAACTATAGCGCGGCGAACTTCGAACAGCAGCAAACTTGGTAGCCGCTACCGCTTATGTTTGTTCGTCGCCAGGTCATAAAAGCTGGCTCTCATTGCTCCGGGATTCATGAAAGCTTGTATGCTTAAGCTAGTGTGGAAAGAGCTTTTGATAATACCAAACAGTTCCTAGCTCGCTTCTGGGGTTCTCATAATTTGTTGTTTCTAAGTACACGTAAACGTGCACCCTAAAGGGCAAATTTAAAAGCAAACCCTTGTGGGTAGCATTGATTGATGCTTGTGGTAACAAAATGAAACTAGACCCCATGGAGACTCTCCAATTTGAGATGTTTAACAACTCTGAAATGTTCTACCCTTAGGTAAACCGACCTTCATGAGAAAATTCAAAGTGAAGCCGGATCCTATTCGACATCAGAATGTTTTGTTTGCTTGTTTATTTTGTTTGCTCCTGATGACCAGCGGTTTAGCTGTAACTAGAAGGCGAAAAGTTTACCAGAGGGCTGTGCAATACTTTTCATTGAGGGAAAAATTTATTAACATTCTTCCCTAATGCAGCCTCGGTTCAAAAGCAGACGAAACTCAGTATACTGTTGATCTTCCAAAAGTTGTACTTCGTTATCAAAATTAAAACTGTTTGGCTCTATGAAGACTTACTGCCCGTTAAAGTAGCTTTTCCGTGTCTTTAACTGCTTCCGTTTACGTTCGTCGCGACCCACTGCAAAATAACCGGCAGGCGCTTACTACATGCTCTCCCTGAAAATGAACTGAACCTCAACATTAGGGTGTTTCTAGTTGTGCCATACAAGGCGCCTAATTGCGCACAGAGTTAGTCGCACAGACTCAACACATTACGGCGCTCAGATTTCTCGGCGTCCATGGATTATATTGGAAATAAGGGGGTTTTTCTGGAAAAAACAAGCATTAGAAATCTTGTACACAAAGACACCATGTGTTTTGTCTGATTAACGCGTCAGGTTCCATAACTCGAACCTGTTTATGGTCTGTTTTATGACTTGCTGTTGCCAGTTAATTGCCGCCTCAAAATAGGAAACCGGCGCTCAAAAGTCAAACTTACCTGGGGTCGTTCGATTGTTTCAGCCAAGTTCAAGGGGGTTTTTCTGGAAAAAAACAAGCATAGAAATCTTGTACACAAAGACACCATGTGTTTTGTCTGATTAACGCGTCAGGTTCCATAACTCGAACCTGTTTATGGTCTGTTTTATGACTTGCTGTTGCCAGTTAATTGCCGCCTCAAAATAGGAAACCGGCGCTCAAAAGTCAAACTTACCTGGGGTCGTTCGATTGTTTCAGCCAAGTTCAAAAGTCACGGAATGGGGACGCTCAAGGTGAATCCCAAGGTCAGGTGTTGTGATGATATATTTTGAACCCTAAGCCGACCGTAGCGTTTTACTTACGTTTAGCATAGCGTTTAACAACCTATTGAGGACGCCTCATTAATCGCACGCAACTATCCCTCCAACCCTTTTCCGCTTGATTAGGCCTCCCTGGGTTGTAACCCTACCAGCACAATTCCTGCGAGGCTTACCATTACCTCAATTAGATCAGATAATTCCACCACTCCCATCTTTCTCTGAGCGGCTGTCAGACCCTCATTCCCCATCATCCTTCTCCTGATCGTGTGCAAAGAAGCACCTTGCAGGCAACAGACCCAGCACTAAACCTCATAATTCCTCAAAGCCGGTCGGTTGAATGCTCTAGTTAAGTTCGGACTGCACTGTTGTAACAACCAATGTTTCCCTTCCTGCCCCACTCAGCAGTCATCTTCCTTCCTCTTTACCAAAAGATTCCCAGCTCTACGCCGACCTGGAAAATCTCAGTGCTCGTGGAAATAAAATATGGAGAGAACTAACATCCTACCGTAGCATGCAACCACTTGCCTGTCTTCCAACTCCTGACGCAATGTGCGATCCCTCAGATCTTGCAAAAGCGTTAGTCCTTATTGACACACTCGCTTACAAGAGAAGCCGGCGTATGGAATGACGTAAATAGGTCTTAATATACAAGGCTCCTGGTGGAACGCAAAAAAGCCACCATCTTTACAGCATGTAACATGCATGACGCCGTCTGTGCAGCTCGACGGCTACGAAAGTGGAAACCCTCCATGCGTTGTCCAATGCTAATACAATTCAGAGATGAAAACGGTGCAACGCGCCTGTTAAAATCTCAGGCCGTTCCGCCCACCATCCAAACATTTCAGACGGCAAAAGTCAAAGCTGTCCACACTCGATTACAAAAGTGGCTCACAAGGAATTAATTCTTCAAACTTCTAGTGGCGGCTACTGATAAGTATCAAACCAACCCATCTTTCCTTCAACAATCTGTATTAGTAGATGCTCTCGGTGTGATTCACTCGCAGACTTCCCGTACAACCGACCCCTTAAAAGCTGAGCATGTCATATTACTGATGACACATATGCACAGCTGCCGGAAAACTCAAGATCTAAAAAACAGCTTACCGAATCTGCCGACTGTTACGCCCACTTCTACGATCCCCACTGGTTCTGTTGAGCACCCGCCCTTCACCGACATCAGTGTAGCTGCCCCTCAAAATGTTGGAGCTGGTATGTCATCACCCAAAGTTCGAAGCTACAGCATTGATTCTCTCCCTGGTCTTCATTATCCTGGAATCGGTCCACGCGTAACCTCCCCATATCGTGATGCCTGGTTATGGTCTGATGCTGCACAAACCGGCATAACGGCCTCCAGCCCCTCTTCTCCTATTCATGACTATGAGCTCCCCACTTCTACCCATGGACACCTGCCCATGCCACTCCGACCTTATCTGCCGACTGTTACGCCCACTTCTACGATCCCCACTGGTTCTGTTGAGCACCCGCCCTTCACCGACATCAGTGTAGCTGCCCCTCAAAATGTTGGAGCTGGTATGTCATCACC